TGGTACCAAAGATACCCAAAATTTTTTGATGGCCTTATTGCTTGCAGAAAAATATGTAAAATTTTTTAAAATGAAGTAAAATGAATGAAGTGAATTGGCATCTTATTAGCTGGTTATGAGCTAAGCTTATTGAACAAGTACAGAAGGCCTTGATAAAAAATGTTGTAGTCAAAATCAGCGGATCTAAGATTTAGTAGCATTTAACATTATCTCAGACATCATACAGGAAGCATTGGTAGAGCAAACAGTAACCGGAATGAGAGTAAACGGGGAGGTAATCAACATCAGATATAAATTTGGTGTTAAGATGTGGTGTTATAGAAGCACCCTGAGAATAAGCTGGGTGAGCTGGATGATCTTGGCCACGTGATTTAGGGGGAGAAATTACTCATTTTTACAAACTATTATTTAAGGGAAAGTATGGGGTAGAAGATGTATAAGAAGAACAGTATCTTCTTCTTAAAGGAGACGGCACATACAGAAGAACTGACTACTGATTACTATTAAGATCATCGAAAGGTAAACAAAACGGTATTTTCATCCATTTGTGCTAATATAAATTCGGAAATCGTCTGCATATGAAAAGAGAGAGAAAAGCAGCGGATCCAAAACACCTTCCTGGGTTATTTCCAGAACTTCGTGAACTAAAATTTAAGTCGATGCGTACATACAAAAAGTGATGACAATGGTTAAATCGACATCAAAAACAAAGAAAAAGGGGAAAAGCCTAAATAGATGAGAGAGTTGCATGAGAAAATCATAAAAGAAATTGAGCAATTAAGCAAGTTTAGACGTCGACCATTACAAGCGTATCTTATATCGTCAGTAATCTTGATCAGTGCAATTATAGTACTATGACAATGGGGGAAGCAAGATTACACGTTAGTAATTACACGATACCCAATCAAGATAATTAAATACTAGGGTGTACTCAATAAGAAACTGTTTTTTTGAAAATAGGTACAATATGAGCAAGTTTCTACAGATATAAAAAGAATGAGTTTCGATACAAAAATCTTTTCTATATAACAAGTATATAGAGCTTGTCTGTGAAGAAGCCTTTACATTATATTTTTATGAAGGAAAATTGATTTCGTCAGTACCTTTACGGTCTAATAAATGAATATTTTTGGATTTATAAAGGAATATTTTAAGTTAAATTATACCAATTTTAAAATTATTTGGGGTAAAAATTTCACGTAAACTAAATTGTTAGAATTTATCGATTAAATTTCATGTTACATGAAACTTTTTGACGTTATAAAATATTGTTTGGGATTACATTGTTTTAAATAAATAAAATCCAAAACAAATGATTTACAACTGGTTTTATTTTAAATATTAAATCAACCTGACATGTTTCGGTCACTATTGGACCATCATCGGAGGTATCGTTAAATATAAAAGTGATATACGAGGAAACTTAATATGAAACAATATTGCTGCTAGCAGAAATATATGTAAATTTTAAAATGTCACGAAGAAAATGCAGGAACCACGTTAAAATACATAGGTTAAGTTGTACAACTAGTTGTGTTGGATTTTATTTATTCGTCACACTGGTTAAAATTATGGATCCACATATTCAACAATTGTTCTAAATGTTATGCTTTTATTTATTGATCAATACATTTTATACTGGGAATTTCTATAACTCGCAATATATGCATGAATGCAGTAAAGTAACCATAGTTATGAAACTATTATTTTAAACTTATGACACTCCTTATGATAACCCTGAGGTTTCGGCCGTCTTTAGAAACCCGAATGTTGCTTATTCTAGGTCTAGTGTTAGTCTACTTTTCGATCAATAAAAATATACCACAATCTAACGCTGAATAACAATTAAAAGCTGCTAGTGCTAAACTAACGCTAACACTAGACCTAGAACTAGAATCATTCAGGTTTAACCGTATTGAGAGACGTGCGGCCAAACCTGAATGTTTTTAGTTCTGGGTCTAGTGCTAGTTTTAGTTTTATTTGTTATTCAGCTTTAGATTGTGGTATATTTTTATTAAACGAAAAGAAGAACTAACACTACACCTAGAATTAGAAGCATTTGGGTTTAGCCGTGCGTCTCTTAAGACGGCTTAAGAAGTTATGCTTTCAAGAAATGCAAGAAATGTTTTCCACAAAACAGCTTGGAGTTAAGAAATTTAACTTTTTAAAATTATAAAGAAAGGTTTCAGGGTCGGTTATACTAAATCTTAAGTTTGCAAGGTAAACCGTTCATTCAGTGTATACTTTTGTAAGTTGCCGTCTTAATTTCGTGCATGTTGAAAGTGAGGGTAAGAAAAGATTGTTTTCTCCAAAACTGTTATGATTTAAGAGGTAAAACTTTTTAAAGTTTTAATGGAACGTTTGAGGTTAAATTATAACACATTTTAAAATATTCGGGCGAACATATTTGGTATGTTCAGGTTATAAAGTAATATTTCAGATTACTTTGTACCTAATTTGAAGTTTTCATAGTGACCAATACATGCCATATATATTTTTTAATATCGATTATATTTGATGTTTGTTAAAAGTGTGGTTAAAGAAAAAGCTTGTTCCTTCCATAACGATTCCGACTTGAGATATAAAACTGTTCGAGGTTACAAAGAATCCTTTCAGGTTAGATTTCACCAAGCTTTAAGTTTCTTGGACGTACATTCATTTTAAAAATTGCCAATTTAACTTCAACGTCTGTTCAGTGTAAAGGAAATAATTATTTTCTCTAAAATAGTTATGACTTAAGATGGGAAATGTTCTGATGTTGTAAACTAATGTTTGAAGTTAACTTTTGCCACAAATTAAGCTTTTAGGGAGAACCTTTTATTATAGTATATAAATTTTTAAATGTTGTTTATTTGAATTGAATGTTTGTTGAAAATGGGTTAAATATAACAAATGTTTTCCTCAAAACAGCTTGAAGTTAAGAAATATAACTTTTTGAGGTTATAAAGAAACATTTAAACATTTATATAAAATTTAAACTTTTCGTAACTTTTTACTTATTAATTTAATTAAGAAATTATGTTTAAGCTAAAGCTTTATGATTATTGTTGAAAATTTCCTCTCTTTGAATACACTTCTTAATACAATCGAAATTGTACTTCTCTGAAGAGTATTGTGGTTGTTTTGCATGGATTCAGTGCAGCCATAATTTTATTAATTCATTTTTCTCCGGTTTAAGTATCCTTCCGCATACAATAAATTTTTAATCTGTCCCCAAAGATAACAGTTAAGACTATCAAAGTGTGGTGACCTCGTTGGCTAAATAACTAAATCGTCTCTTCCAATAAACTGTATGCTGATAATAATTATGTTTTCCCTTACCATCTTTTAGAACATTGTCAGTAAGCTTCAACATCATCTCTTTTGTTTCAAGTACCATGAATGATAGAAACATATTCGATATAAAAACATATCAAAATAAACAAACCTAAATATTCTCATTTATTCTAAAAGCATCTAAACGTTAAAACTATATAGTTAAAATACTTGAACTATATGGGTTATTTAATTTTCAAGTATGCAAATAGTTTTTCCGCGTTTATGTACAGAGTTTGGTCCAAACATCCATAAATTGTAGGAGTACATTTTATTTGGGTAAACACAAAACTCGCAAAACCGAGATACGGTCATATATTTTTTAAAGCTCTGCAACTGACGTTGTTTGAATATTCCGCTTCTGGATGTAGATTTCAAATTTAAAATCAACTGGTCAAATTTAGAAAACGCGTTGTGAGATCGATTATTAATTAATATCCGGTTATCAAATAAATCGGAATACTCTGAATTGGGGAAATTGCGTTTTATCAAACGAAACATCGCCAAGAATTTAAAGCCGTTTATATATCCTGTGTGTGTTGGGGAACAAAGAAGGTATATTTCACGGTTGAAATCACGGAAATTACGTTAATTTGGAGTGCGGATAATGTTAGAGCTTTGATGTTTTAAATAAGAGTGAACGATTTGATTATTTCAGTGTTTTTGATCGTTACTGGGAAGATTTTGCGGAAGTTATGATGATTACCCAAGACTTTTTTTTATTAGTAGTCGTTATCTGATGGAACGCAAATTTAAGGACTTAAACAGTAATATATATTCGGGAGCTTGGAACGCTGGCCAACTATTCAAGCTTCTAATGACGGTAGTGAATAGATAGTCATAACCATTCGGAGATCGTTTCCATAACTGTTCTCCATATTTATACAGTAAAACTTGAATATTTTAAGACCATATAATTATTTAAATCTTATCAATTATTAATATCTCGTGAATAGAATTTAAAGGTTATTATCTTTAATCCCGTTTCTATTGGAAACCTAATCAGAATGCCGCAGCACGAACTTCGAAAGTTATCACTATTTCATCCTCTCCTTGGCTTAAGCGATTATAATTATAATGCCACCGCGTGTATACGACTAGAACAGACTTTCATTAGAGTACAGTTAACATTAGAACTTGGAGCTTTGTCGAACTTCGGACAATTTCCGAAGTCTTAATTAAACGAAGCCGGTTCAATGTTCACACAACAACTATGCTACTTGTTACAGTTACATAATAAACAGATACTAGAAGTTTAATAGAGTTTTGGATACCTGAAAGCTATTTAAAGAATTAGAGTTTTCATAACAATTAGTTCAGAAACCTTTAAATTTCGTAATTTTTTTTTGCCTTCAATTAATTGAACCAAGTTAGAATTTCTCATTTGAGGGCCTAGTTCTGGCACCCTCCGTCGATTTTAAAAGTGTTTCCGGCACTTTGAAAGTTGAGTCCAATCAAGCGAAGTTTTCTAGTTCCTGCAGTGCAGAGTTTTATGGATACTCCGCGATAGTTGCTTTTTTTATTAGGATTCAATAAATATTCGACCCGGGTTTCAATTTTGTTTCATCAAAAAAATTGTAATATCAACGTGAATTAAAGTTGAAACTTTTATAATTAGAACTCGAAAAATTTGAAAATGCTTTTAGTGGTTTGCAAATATTAAAATGGAATAAAAAAGTACTTACTCACTAAATTCAGCCTCTGTGGGTATTCGACATATCACACCCCTATCCATTGAACATTTTTCTGTAACGGGATCGAGGGGTGCGAGATTAATGTACGGAGGTTCTTCGAGGAAAGTTATTTTTAAATGGAATTTCTCGGGAACGCCTTGAGGTGGGGTATGGCTATCTCCGGGCCATACGATATCTTTGATGTCCAAACCCTCCACTTGCCACGATTTCCAAGCTCCAATCTAGAAATAAAAATTTAAATTTTTACCTAAAAATGTAATAAAAGAGCGCAAAAATAATCTATTCCAGGGTAATAGCGACATGTTCATCTAAAGCTGAAAATAAGCTTCGCCTACTCTGGCGTTCTTATAATAAAGGATAATAGATCAAAACTGCAACTTCTTATGGAACACCCGGTTCTTTTTCCTAGGTGCCTAGAAATGATTAACGATCTACTCTTGTTTCAACCACGGTGAAATGGCCCGGATTTGTACGACATCGTTAATTTTCTTACAAAAGAAAGGACTGCGTGAATTAAAATCTACGTCATGTTTTATCAGATAATTTCCAAGCTCCGTTAATTAGGTTTAAATATTTTATTCCAAAAAATCTTCAAAATCCAATATCTTATAACCCTTATTTGTTTTGGATTATAAAAATAAAAAAGGACCTGATTCTTGACGTATAAAAGGAAATATATAAAACTTGAAATAAGATGGCAAATTTGATTTATGAAAACGTTTGCAAGAAGATGGGAATTTCAAGATATTGGACATGCTTTATCTTTTGTCTGAAATCTTTATGTAAATTGAGTTATTGCAACTTTTTACGAAAAAAAGAGTAAAGTGTAACACAAGAATAAATTATGAAGAAATTCACATTTTACAAGTTAGTTTGTTTAATTTGCAAATTGCGAGATGGAAAATGGAAAAAACGGAAGTTATAGTATACAATACAAGCTATTCAAGTGTCCCAATCAAAGCAATTAACGAGCTAATTACGCCCGCAGCAGTAAAATCAAAGCACAAAGCTAATTGGCACCTTATCAACGTAGTCCTAGTAATTACAGGACCTTTGCAAATGTGTAATTTAGAGAAGCAATGGTTTCTATACAATCAAAAAAGGGATATCTTTATTAAAAAGTTGATATTTTAGAATTTGGATTAAAAATTTCTTATTTAAAATGAACTTTATAAGCTTTATCTATAGCAAAAAGTGACTGTAAAACAACCAAATCAATCGCTTTTATGAAGCTTCAGTATTGTCGATCACTCATTGTTTCAATTTCTTACTTAATATTCGGGGATTAGTAAAGGTAAGGTTCTTCAGGAACTATTTTTCCATCTTATTGGACACAAGATTCAAAGTAAAAATTCATTATAGTGCTACAAATATTTATATAAAATAAGAGCCTTACCGAAAATAGCTTTATACCTTTCGCCGCACAGTATTACATTAACACTGTTAGTAGACGAAACTTTTGCTATGTCGATAAAAGCGATGTTCCCCACATCTTTTACCAAAACTCGATTATGCTGGGCGTCTTAGAGTAAAACTAAATTGATGGTGCAACTTCGTTACACATAACCGTGTTGGTCCTAGTTAATAAATGGTGCAAGTCAAATATAATACCTTCTGAGTCAAGTTAACTGATTAAATTTAATATACGTGGTTATAGTCTGTACATCATTATAGTCGTTTTGGTATATTCATATTTCAAAGGCCACGTAAGTGTCTCGAAACGTACCGCAAATAAAGTATTCGAAGCAATCAATATTTTGAAACGTTCTGTATGTGTCTACCGAGCTCTATGATAAAGAGATGAAAAAGGTTAAGTCCGTTGAAAAACCTCTGGAAAACAGATTGAAAAAGCTCAAGGAAAAGACTAAAAAGTTAACACGAATGCAACTGCTTTGTGTGGCAGAAATGTGTTGACGCTGCCTCTGATGAAGTATGACCAAGTTCTTATCCGTATCTCTCCATCAATACCTTCTCTCCAACTCCTGCGTGGTCCTCCTCTCTTTATTCGACCTAGTGATGTTCAATGCAGTGTTTTCTTTAGTAGTCTTGACCTATTCTTTGTACATGTTAATGCCATCTAAGTTGGACAGTTTTTATGTCTGTAATCCTGTAATTCCTATAGGGTGTGTCTGCAGGTGGTGAATAGTTTAGATAAAGGAGATAAAAGAACTTCTTTTCTCACTATACTTAAAACAAAATCTCGACATGGACAATAATCACTCAATATGGCCTTAACACGATACTCGAAAAAAATCAATACATAAATTATTGTCATTATAAAGAATTGGAGAACGCTTTATCATTAATAGAAAAATTAGTCGTAAACTAACGAATCCCAACTAAAATCAAGTACTATCAAGAATAAGGTTAAGAAAATGAGCAGTAAGCTTCTTTGGAAACACAATCAATGCAACTTGTAAATGTAAAGAGAAGAAAAACGAGTGATAATAGGCCCAACTCAAAAATCCCTAATTAAGAGCGCACGATTGTTTAAACGACATAGTTGAACATTTTGACATTAATTTGGTCTCTAGTAATAATCGTTTTACACAAAATAATTTAATGTTGGTTGATTCGTGGACTCATTTAAATAACCGTACGCAGTTAATTAGCAAATTTTGAAATTGGGCATTTCCACTTTCACATTCACTGTGGATCATATTTTCGATTGAGATGTTGATGACTAAAATTGGTCAATTAATAAAAGATATAATCGATGTGTTTGATTAATTAGTTTTTAGCGTTTTCATCAAAATTCTCTCATATTTTAAATCGAGTGCTTCGATATCATCATTCAGCCAGATCCAAGCATTTGATTGAGATATGAATGATTAATATCCATCAAACCGGCTCTAATCATAGTCGATTTAATATACATTAATTTGTTTCTATTAGGGGCTAGACTTTCAAGTGCCTATACGTGTATAAACAACGAGTCGAACTCGTTATCATTATTAGAGCAGTACAAGATTTACGCGAAAAATTGAAATCGGGTATTTTGTAATTTAGATGGAGAAAACTATGACGTATAGATCTTGGTAATCGAGTATATCAGATATGACCAGTTTAATTCTTCGCAATATTTTGGCGTTTTAGCGGAATTCGAAACAGATTTCGAATCGGGTATTTCCACTTTCGAAGGATTAACCTTTCGAACGATATATCATTCATCGAAATTGGTTGTCTTATCATAATCAAAATACTATGAATGTAAAATCCTAACTAATTGGGAACCAATCTCGCATAGGTGAGTAGTCTATTTATAATTTTTTTGAATCCGCATCTGGTTTATTTTGTCTGTTACATATTTAATAAGTTCTCCAGGTGTATTCCCTAACCCGCCACTCTTCCATATTTTATTAGTATCTACAGTAAAACCTCGACGGATGTCGTTAGAACGGACTTCGGATATCACGGGCAAAATATTTTTAAGACATACTATTAATATTATCTATTTAACTCATCAGTACATTTAAATATAAATGTGAGCACATAGATGGAGTCCAAGTTGCTCTCTTCGGGGATACCCCGAATTGTCTATATGATGTATAAATAAAGAACGGTAGTTCTAGTTTTAATTGTTATTCAGCGCTGGACTGTTGTATATTTTTATTGAACTAAAAGCAGAAGTAAGACTACATCTAGAACTAGAAACATTCGGGTTTAGCCGTCTTAAGAAATGTTCGGCTAAACCCGAATGTTTCTAGTTTTAGTTCTAATGCTAGTGTTAGTATCCTTATCTTGTAGTTGTTATTCGGCGTTTTAGGTTACAACAATCTGTAAACTAGAACTAACACAATTTTTCATATATCGGACACCCCCTACCCGTATTAATCTGTTATAACTATGTTTTACTGCACTTTTAGGTTTATTAGTAGCTTATTAAAAATATTAAAAGATTGATTAATTATTTTTGGATTGTCTATATCTATTAATGTTAAAAACGTTTATTATAAGATAAATAATAATTGTATGGAGAATTAAAAAGAAATTCCTTTTCATCTTAATTAAAAATTAATACTAAAATACCTAAACAGTTAATAAAGACTTGAGTAATCATAAGGGATATTGTTAATTAAAAGTTTGTTATTACAAATAGCTATAACATAGTAATTAGGGTTAATCGGCTAACTAGGGCAATGTAATATGCTTAAGTGATTATGTGCACTGGCTCCTACTTGTTAAGTAAACACCGAAATTTCGGAACTAAACCACTTTTCACTAATTAGCACTAATTAAGCAAATTGGGTAAGCAACTTTTATTAAAAACAGAAATAATTTCGAAAATATTTCCAACTTTAAAACAAAGGAAAAAAAAGTAGATTTTTAATAAAATATAGGCATTAGCAAATGACGCAAAAAATATTTAAAACATGTTGTGAAATCCGTTCGCGAAAAAAACAAAAAAAAAATATTTTCTACGATTTGCGAACAAAATTTAATCAATACTTTTGCTGGCGTTTGCAAATAACATTTATATTCGTTAGGAATCGATTAATTAAAAGTTGCTAAAAGTCTTTTTCTGAATAACTCTCACGAAGTTTACGATCCTATTCAATTGGCAGTTAAATTGTAGTTGCAGAACTCGTTCGTTAATTAGAAAATTTGATTTCTCTAAATCTTTGTAATTTCCAATTCCTTATTTAATTGCTGAGAAGAAACATTAAATAATCATGTAACAAAATTCAAACAATTTTTTGAAAAATGAAAAAATTTGTAAGGTATATACAAAATAAACTATAACATAAAGAGACTATAGCATAGAGAGGCATCAACTTGGACATCTATTATGTATAAGTTCAGGCATCGAGATGATGGCGTCGACGGGAAAATCGGAATAATTTGTTGGAAATTAGAATTTTAAATCACAAACGCTCCCCGAAAAGATAGGTGTTGGCTTCGTGACACGTTAAACTCGATTTGTCGCTGATAAAACAACGAATCTATTCGAAACCAGACGTGTGATGACAACTTAAACGTGCTCGAAGATTCGGCTTTGCCATTTACATACATTCATTTTCTAATTTGCACTTGTACAATTTTCATGATTTACATTCTTTTCGCATTAATAAAATGTAACAAGCTCCCCAAGGAACTTTACTCCTAAGAAAATGGTAAGAGAAAAACGATAAATAATTCTTACCTCTTCCCAAATTTGTTGTTTTCCGAGTCCTGGTCCCGCGGGTCTCAAGTTCATAATTTTCAATTCGGTCGCTTTAAGAACACCGTCTTGGGTAAATTCAACGTTGGGTTTCCCAGCATCTTGTTCGACCGTGACGTTTCTTAAGTATCGATAAAAACGATCTCCGGTATCCCATCGGACGGCGCCGGCTCCATCGCAAGATAACTGGGTGTTCAATGATCGACCTTCATTTTCCGGATCGGCTAAAAAGTTTTCCACGCCGTGTGCAAAAACTTTTATGGCGGTCGTTATTTCGTTTACTAAACTTGTACTTGATGTATCAAAATGAACACCTAAAAACAACAATAACGAATGAGTAGGGATCATTTTAGATTCGTCTCGATTTATTATGGATAATAATAATTTTATTTGGTGAGATGGAAATGTTAAGAACAGGAGTTTCCTTTTTGTGTGTTTTATTATATGGGGGGATGTAGAAAGGTTATTTCTCTTTCCAGCTGAAAAAATATGTATTCGGCGAAATATTTTTTTTATCCGTCATAAAGATTCAGAGATTTTAGGTCAGCATTTTCACCTTAACATCAATATTTTTTTCTTTTTAGAATTTATTTAAACTTTTTTTGCGAATTATTTTTATTGTTAAGTTTTTCACAAAAACTGATTGTTCGATAACATTTATTACATTTTATTGTAATCGAAATAAGTCAATTAAAAAAAGAAATGAATTATGGAATGCACATTGGTGTTCTGTTCGTCGATAATAAAACTGACGAAACGAATTCCAAACGCGTCAATCAAAGGGCAAAAATTAGTACCACGATTTCAACTAAAATCGATGGCTTCTCTGAAACCAGTAATTGCATTTAAAATTGCGAACCAAACCTTTGTGAGGTGGCCTTTATTAAAATAATAAAAGAAAAACATTTATTAATTAAATGAATTTTTAAATACGTAGAACATCTACATTTCGTCATAGAAATTAGTCCTTAGAAGTGAATAGAGGATCGCAAAGTGAACTTTCCTAAGTTCATGTTGAAATTGAAACTTTGCATTAACGTACTAAAAGCATTACCTTGATGTAATTTATACATATATATGGCTTATTCAAACGAAACTCCTATTTCTTATGTTCGCAAATAAAACAAAGTCTCACTGCACTCAAGTTCGGTGACACATACCTCCTAACTCACCAATTCCCCGAGTTAGATAAGTAATTGCCTCTTAGAGATCGTGGTCGTGTAACGCCGAGACCTAATGGCGATATATCCTCAAAGCAACTGAACCTAAATTCAAAACCAATTCATGATAAATGAAATCTTGCCGCGTTCCATTCTCGTACGATAAGAGATGTACTACTATTACGGTGCTGATCTATTTTAAAGCTTCGTTGCTCCGCTTTGGCGTTACTGAAAGAGGTAGAACAACTCCGAGATAGTAATTTTAGGTTGCTTGGAATTTACAAAGATAAACAACCAGGGGGAGATATCCCAAGTTCGAATCGCGAAATGGAAACCGCTCCTAACTAATATTTATGCGAATAAGCCATTAGGGGGAATTTATGTTTATTGAAGCTACGATCGAGTAAATTCCTGTTCATTTAAGTTTCAACTATATTTTTTCAAATAATTTCTTTTGCCACACAACGATTAGGCATCGTTGAAAATCCGATTTGGAAAAAAAGAACTCGAATAGTATCGATTTTTGGAGAGCAAAGCATCTACGTTTCGAAGAACAAGATAAATTCAACTTCAATGTCGCGACTAAAACCGCATATGTATCGTTTTCAAATACCTCCCAATGTGAAAAGAGAATTTCATTTGAGCCAACGAAATTCAAGTTGCGCATTTGCACCTCCCGGATGCATCTTTGCCTGGCTTTGTTTGCGCGCGGGATCTGTACTGGTGGGAATTTCTATGCATTTCATTTTCCGGACATTACAATGTGCTCTGATTTGTGAACACAACGACGACAATAACTGAATGTTTATACTAACGACTGCAATACTATTGAAGGTTTCGTGGAATTACGTATTCAATACCATTACAACTCAAGTTATTACATCGGGTAGGTGGCCCTACTGTAATATTGTACAAACACATTGAAAGGTTGTGCATCAGCAAATTGAAAGTGAACAAATAATAATGTCAAAGTTGCATCTGTGTTATAAGTATTATAAGAGTATTGCACAAGCAGATGAGTTGAAATTATTACTTTGACTAAATCTATTAAATACAATAATGCAATAATATACAGAGTGGGACAAAAGTCTGGAAAGGGCAAATTTACTCCTAAATAGGAACCTCCAAAATCGATGGTATGTAATCGTGTCTATTACATTCTTCAAGTATTCGCAATAAAAATATTCTTTAGTCTTTAGTATTAAGATCCTGCAGCTTATTCAATACTACCAATCTCTTATTATCCAAAAATCTTGAGAACGCTGAACATTTATGATAAAATGAGCTAGAACTCCGGCTTGTTAACATCATATCTGATGCAAATTGGCTTTAATCAGGTTTCTCAGTGAAGGCGCAATTTTGCTTCTAAATAACATTGTATACCAATTATCTTTTAAATTTCCTTGCACTATATAAACATTTAACTTTTGTGGTATTTGAGTACAATTTTCAAGCATTTAGTGGAGATTTACATCATTCCAATACTTTTACCTTACCAATACCCTTACATTATACCGATTTAGATTCCCACACTATGTAAAGATTTGTCGTCGGGAAAAAGGTATTTTGTTAAGGATGAGGACTTCCGTCATTACCTCACTGAATTCTTCGTTCTGCACAGCAAGTTTTATTGTCTTTCATAACAGTAACTTTCAGTTTCCTCAAACTGCTTTACAATTTTTTGCATCGTCATCTTCTGGATAAGAGCACAATTTGGGTAATGCAGCCGTCTACAGTGTCACTATGGTGAGACTTTACGTGTCATCCATGCGTCTTCGCTTAATGTAACCCTTTTTGTTGATCATTCTTTCAAGCAACATTCCGACTTCACTCACGAGGCACAGGTTCGACATAATGTAATACATAATGTACTTAATCAGGTTCCACAATTTTGCTTTCGGTTGTGACTCAAATCTCCCATTAGTTTTGTTCTTGTGCTCAAATCTCTGCAGATAAGCAGGTTATCCATCGGTTACAGGAGTATTGCCGGTATCATGCTCAATTGCTGTCAGATAATTTGGCAATATAGACATTTTGGTTCACTCTTGTACTTTTTCAGTAGTTGCTTTCACCCCTTGCAATTATAGAAAAACCAAACCAATCCAATCCAACCCTACCTACTTAGATTTTTCCTGTGTAGTCCTTCGTAAAGTGTGATGGTGACCAGCATCTTGAGCACTTCCTTTCGTTATACGGCATACAGATAATCCCTTCCACTTCTGATTCATTTCCTTATCTTCAACATCGACCTTTATTACCTTCGCGTGATCTGATTTGTTAGCCCTTTTCTTTCCATGAGCTATTCTCCAACATTTTCTAGTGTTCGTATTTACTCCCCTTCTCTATTTCTTCATCTCGTTCCTCATCCTCACTCAGTACTTTCTCCGCCTTTGTATTTGTGTGTCCTGAGTGCACCTTTCTTTCCTTCTTTTAGGTTGCTTGGCATTTTTTCGCTCCTTATCAAGCAGGAGGTAACGATCAATATGACATTCCGGACAAAGAATTACACCAAGAAGAATTACAAGAATTTTTTATTATTATACTTAGATTTTATGATTTTAGCAAATTTTTGTTGAAAATTTAACTAAAAAGAATTAATAATCGGGATTAACTCGAATTAATTACGGTACACATAGGGACAAAGATCAAAAGTAACTGGGGAAGATACATCTTGTACCTAATGTAATTACAACGGTACGATAAGCTGCGTTATATCAGTGCAGTGGTTGTTCAGACCGGGGTAGTAGGTCCATTACAATAACAATGGCGAGGTCTGGTATTTACCGGCCCTTGGGTACATTCCATTATGCAACTGGTTCCTTTACGTGTGTTCTCTGGGGTGAAACCTTTTGTTCTTCAAGTCCCTGCACAAAATGGCACTCCTCGCGTTTACCGCAACCAGCATAAGGGCAATTACGGTGATATACGTATAATCCACATACTCACTTAGAAAAAAAAATTTCATTTAAAAATAATTTATCGTATTAAGTCATCGGCATCGTTGGTGAGCGGAATTTATTTGTGAACGTTTTAGAACGATAATGAGCGTGCGGTTTATGTCTTCTCGTAGATTCCGGTTTGTGGGGGGACATAATTACATCGGCACGACAGTATGCGAAACGAGCTCGTTCCATCTAAATGCTAATTTTCTTGAAACGCATTTGATATAACTGCAATAGGACAAGAATCTTTTGATGTATGAATATGCGTATATATCACCTCACATCTACGGATTATTCGCAATTGACTTATTTAATCTTATTTTAAATCAAATTATGATAATGCAACTTTGTGTTATTACTAATTCAAATTAGATAGTAAATAAGTAGTACAAATAGGTCGGGTAATTTTCGTTTTGCTCCTTTCTATCTGCTTTCTCGCTTCAGTCGGTTTCGACGAAACTAATAAAACTGAATTTAGACCCATCCTCGCACTCCTAGCGGCAATGGAAAGCAACCCGGTCCGTGTAATTAAATCGGTTGCGCAACATTAACAAATTGCCAAACTTTTACGTGGTCGTTTCGAGTTTTGCGGTTTATCCATCAACTTCATCGTTGGCTCATAAAAAAGAAAACGAAATAGGAAAGCATAAAACGCGAAATATTTCCTGAGCTTTAGATATTTAAACAAGACATATATAAAAAAATTAGATTTACACATTTTACGTTTTCATTTCAAGACCATTCTGATCCAATTAAAAATTTCTGGATTTTGTCGCGTAGTGTAACTGAAATGTTCCGCTTGGACGTTTACGAATCTGACAAGCAATTAAAAGTTACAAACTACTCCGAAGATAATTTTTATTACAAAAAAAGTAGGAATTCAAGTTGGATATTTTTCTTAACTTGACACGTTTTTGAAGTTTAAACAATACGAATTGCATTGTTTTACGACTTTTTGAAACTTATTATAAATTTTCGTAGTTGGATTACATATGCTGATGGGGTACATGGAAACTATTTGGGTACACCTGAACTTCAAGTACAACTTGATGACTTAATCTACATGTTCATATACTCCTCAGAGACCCCATCCTGCCACTCAGCGAATTGAAACTAGAAACTCGAAACGGGTCGAAAGGGTTTCATTAAAAGAGAGACTTTCACCTGTTAAACTATGTAAGTGGCATAAATTAAACGATTATCCTCATTATAACGACTTATATTCGTATCATTGAATGTATTTATTTATGTTAGAATTGATTCCTGATGACCTATAAGATCATTCCATAAAAGTGGAAAACTTGTTGAGAGTTGGAAGCAGCAAGTGCAAAATTAGATGAGTTGAACAAGTTACGTTATTTATTATCAGTGCTATTGAAACGGCAACATCTGCAATAACGAGGGAATTCCTAAAAGGACGTCTTTTGGATGCCGAATTAAAATTAAAGGGTGCTCAACCCGAAAGCATAGATTATCAAAATTACGCTTAATTCAGAAGGATTTCAAGGAATATATTATGAATCGAAAAGCAAATAAGATGGATATCTATCAGAACAATTTAACACTTTTTAAGTCAAAAATTACCAAGATTAAAGGTAATAAGGGAATTTCCATGCTGACATTGGAATATCAATCCGTACATCAACAGGGAATGAAGAGAAATATTATTTGGTCATAATAAACGAGTTTTTTTCACTTTATGGCAGTGTATTTATTAAAGACAAAGAGCGAAGGCCAATTTGATTTAATAACCTACATTAGATATTTGAAAACAAAAGGATACAATAATTGGTTAATAATAAGAATGGATGACGACGGAGAATTTACCGCTGAAAAATTTTAGTCAACAAAAGGGTATGAATATAGATTATACATTACCATACATTCCTCAGCAAAACGGGTGATTGAAAAGGCTAACAAATATTGAATATACATTGCTATATACCCTTCAGCAAAATAGGTGAGTGAAAGGGCTAACGGAACTATCTTAAATAAAGTAAGTATATGACTTGATAAAACTGATTTACCAAGAGACAATTTAATTAAGTCGATCTCCCACTAGTGCATTAAAAGGTATCTACGCGCGAATATTCTTGTTGGTGGACTTAGAAAATTCCATGAAATTGAAGAAATAAACTAGAACCTAGAGCAATACAGGTATCGTACGGCTAAATATTATGCAAATGCTCAAAATCTCAAGTTGACACTTAAACGTTATGAATTTTTAAAGGTCATGGAATGTTAGTTATCAGTAAAATGGTCTATGTTCCTCTAGTATGCAATGAAGGACCGTCGCCGCATTCTGCAACTTCTTATCATTTATGGAAACTTTACTTATTTACCTCTACAGGTAATGCTAAATTATCTTTCTTGCTCAATCTGAAGATACGTCTATGTGACAATTTTGTTTCAATTTCGTATACGAACTTTATTATTCTTTGCCAGACTTTTGGCTTCCTGCATGGTTTTTTCTCTGTTGTCGATGATATCCAATACCTCCTTGGCTCAAGTCTCTCGTAGTCTTCATTCCCTCCTTGTTCCAACATAGCCCTCCACACCTGCTTTATTTGTCTAGTGTCATCGTATGTAAGTGACCCTCCAACATAATTGTACTTCTCAATAAAGATACTTAGTAGTTCAATAGTCAATCCCCTTAACTACATAACATGCGTCACCTACTCAATATTTGTTTCATCGATTTCTATTTCCATCCTTTGTTCATTGTCTATTACCTACCATAACTTTTATTTTATTTTTGTTGACCTTCATGTTGAAGGTCTTCATTTTGCTGCATAATCTTTTCCGCTATTTGTTGGAAATCACTTTGAGCTTTATCTGGTTTTGTTTCAAATGTTCAAATATTTTAAGTCAAACTTATATTTTACATTTCTCAAGTCTCAAATTTTTCTTTTTCCATAAAAAGTTAATGTATTCTGGTAACCGACCGACTTGAATTCATCTGAGAACCAATGGATATCCTTTTTTGGGAATGAGATGATTTGATCTATCTTCACAATTACTTCAGGATGCAGCGTATACACTGAAAGAAATATATTCTTAAACGAAGATTATTACTCTTGGCTCCAGCTTATCACATTCTTGTATATCCACAAGAAGATCATTTTGTTGAGTGAAAGAAAAACCACATATTCTCAAAGCAAGTATACAAATATTCTTGATTCTCACGAAAACGAATTCTTATTGAAAGTAAATCAATATTCTTGAAAAAGAGTATCTTAGTGTTGCGTCAACAATCCCATTTTCGTGTCGAGAATAGATTTCTTAAGTCAAGAATAACGTATCTTTCTTTTTAGAAAAACTTATTCATGTAACAACAATCTTGTATAATTCATCATTTGAGTATTATAAATTATTGACGCAAGAATGAATTTTTTGATACAAAAAATTGATATTCTTCGATGCTAAGAATATGATATACTTCATTCGATAATATTTCTATTGTTAAAACAAAAAAATATTGTTGTTCTAAGAATATCTTATACTTATTTCTAAGAAATACATTCAAGAATAAATCTTTCTTGAAACTCAAGAATAATTTCCCTCGGTGTAGTAGTAGATATCTACCTCTCTAAACCAAAAGCATGTTGTTTCTACAATATTGGCAAGACGCACTGACTTATTCGATATTACTTATTCTCTTAATTGTGTGATATGCAAAAGATGATACCTATCTGCTTAGAATTGGTGGAAACTGCACGTATTTTCTGTCAATAATAAAGTTTTGCTTTGACATATTCTTTTTCTTCTAGAATAAAACATGTCATATATTTCTTATGGCAATTGCAATCGCGTCCTGTTTTTTGGAGTCTACTAAAACACCTTTATGAATAACACTTTAATTCTAGTAAAAAATGAAGTAGTGAATAAACTAGTGGATAAATTGCATAAAGAATTTTATGTGAAAAATCAAAATGAAGTGAATACATTTCTTGAAACGTAAATTGAAAAACTGGAAAATATGTTTGAAAGTCGAATGGTGACTTCCATAGAAGTTAATTTTTAAATATATAGCAGTCAATCAGTAATAACAAATATATCTTACAAAGAATTTATGTACGGCTTAATGTATTTATCAATTATAATGAAACTTCGTCTGGGGCAGAGGATGCGGGGATCAAGTAGGCCGTCAGTTGTCACTGCCGGCCCTAAGCCTGGATAAAAGAGAGTTTTTAGATTAGCCGCCTGTTTGGAGTTAAGCTTTTCTGCGCTCACAGAGCTAAAGGTGTAGTTTCGAAAAATAGAGAAATTAAAAATACCACGACCTATATGGAGCCCAGAGGAAAATGTGGAAAATGCTAAAAAAATGTACAAACAAAAAACATCCGGACAGAAATATGGGAGAACTATTTCTAACAATTATATAGTACTGACGAAACAACTAAAATAGAAGAATGAGAGGAATAACACTTCTAACCACAACAATTTAACAATGAAATTATTTTTAACCGTGGTCAAAGAGAAATTGGAAGCGCAGATTGAAAACAGACAACAACGTTTTAACTTTCTTTTAGGAGCTAAAAGGAAGGTCAATAGAATTTAACAAACCCTTTATATCACTATAAACTGTAACGGATCGTCTTAATGAGCAAAAATTCTATATTCCCTGTTCTGTTACTTTTAATTACAACGCCTCGGCTCCAAGTGACCTCGATTAAACATAGTGAAAAATCTGTATTTTCGCCTGAGTAAACCCAAGTGGCTTGTGGTGTAAGCAATTGATAGCGTCCCAACATAAAATTGGACGACACATACAGCAGTGATTAGATCGCACACGACCTCAGCAAAGGTCACTTACAAGAGTAATTTTAACCCCTCGGCGTGATCAAACGAAATATATTCTCCATTCCAACTCCGTAACCATGGAAATGTCAAAAGTGGAATGCTTGGAGAAGAATTTTGCGATCTTTGAAACTAAGAATCCAACCCAACTCATCTCATTGAGTTTAATTACGTTTCTGTTTCAGAAAATAAACAAGCAACTATCAAATTTAGTAAACTATTACAACCATCACTTCAAATAGACAATACTTGTAATTTAAATTACTTTGACCATTCCAAACATTTCCTACTAATTAAATTCGTTTGTAGTAGATGACAAAGGGTTTCTAATTAAAATTCCTAACAAGTTTATTTAATTAATCCTAATATCGAAATACTCAAAGTTAGAATAATTATAAAATCGTTTGATTTAAACTTTTTGTCTCACCACCTTTTAATTTGATTTCTATTTTATCGACTAAGTAGAAACGTCTCTTTTTTATTTCCAGGCATCGTAAAAGCATCCTTCAATTAAAGTGGCTCTTTGAAACTAAAGAACTTTTCGTTTCTGCGGAAAAATATCTTTCAATTTAAAATCCAATTTACATCTTTAATATCGCACCAGAAAGAGTGAAAATAAGTAAGGTTTACATATTTCACCACTATTTTAATACTTAATAATCACTTTTTATAAGTTTATTAAAAAAATAAAATTTCGGACGTATTTTTTAACGTTTATTAATTATCATTTTGACAATTCTTAATGATATTGATGATTTATGTTTGTCAAAATTTTAATTAAAACGTTTATATCATGGACGATTTTCGAATAGAAACTGACACAATGGGAATAGTTCGCGTCCCCATCCGCAAATATTACGGTTCGCAAACAATGAGATCGTTGGTGAATTTTCCAATAGGCGACGAGGCCGAAAGAATTCCATTGCGAGTAATTCAAGCGATGGGGATTGTTAAAAAAGCATCGGCTCTTGTCAATCTTCAATACGGTCTCGATTCAAAAAAAGTTGAAAATATAACTCACGCTTGCGACGAAGTTATATCTGGGAGTTTGTACGAGGAACATTTTCCCCTTTTGATATGGCAAACGGGATCCGGAACTCATACCAACATGAATGCGAACGAGGTAATTGCGAATAGAGCAATCGAAATGATGGGTGGAAAATTAGGAACGAAAGTTCCGGTACATCCTAATGATGATGTAAATATGAGTCAGAGCAGTAATGATACATTTCCCGCTGCTATGCATATAGCTGTAGCTATCGAGTTGCAAGAGTGCACTTTTCAGGGATTGTTCGCTTTGAGAGATGCGTTAGAAAAAAAAAGCAAAGAGTTTACTAACATTGTAAAAATTGGTAGGACACATCTTCAAGATGCTGTTCCTCTCACTTTAGGACAAGAATTTAGTGGTTATTTACAACAAATTAATTTTGGTGAGTTAAAATCAAGTTTTTAACAAAACAAATTACCTCAACCATCATTGATTTTCCATATATCCCCGCAACAATGTCTATTGTTCTCATTCACAGGGATCGCAAGGCTGCAAGATACACTTCCTCGGCTCTATATGTTAGCTATAGGGGGTACTGCAGTGGGCACAGGTTTAAATACTAGGTCGGATTTTGCAGAAAAATCCGCATCGCAAATAGCCCAGCTCACCGGATTACCATTCATTACAGCCCCGAATAAATTCGAAGCGTTAGCGGCTCACGATTCGATGGTCGAAGTTTCTGGAGCTTTAAATACTATAGCTTGTTCCATCATGAAAATAGCCAACGATATCAGATTTCTCGGTTCCGGACCGCGCTGTGGTTTCGGAGAATTGAACCTACCCGAAAACGAACCCGGAAGTTCGATGATGCCCGGAAAAATTAATCCAACACAATGTGAAGCTATTACAATGGTTTGCGCTCAAGTTATGGGTAATCACGTTGCAGTTACAATCGGAGGTTCAAACGGACATTTCGAGTTGAATGTTTACAAAACTATGATGGTTGCTAATGTATTAAGATCAGCAAAGTTATTAGGAGATGGTTGTATCGCTTTCGCAAATAATTGTGTAATAGGGATTTCTCCTAATTTAAAGAAAATTGAGCATAATTTGAAAAATAGTTTAATGTTAGTGACTGCTCTTAATCCTCATATTGGGTACGATAAAGCTGCGAAAATTGCTATTACTGCACATAAAGATAATGCTAATCTTAGAGATACCGCGGTAAAATTGGGATTTTTAACAGCCGATGAATTTGATCAATGGGTGAAACCTGAAAATATGTTAGCACCAAAAAAATAGGAGTTTTAAAATGTATTATTGAAATTTATTGTAATCTATAATAATAATTGTAATGATTTATTTTAATATTCTTTCTAGCACTTTCTTACTAATAATTGTTGCTAACTTTATTTTTACAAACGTGATAAATCCTGCAACAAAAGAGAAACAAGAAAACACAAGTTTTTAGATTACAAGAAAATTACATAATAAAAATTTGTTCGTTATGTTTCAAAAGAGGTAAAAATGTGAAAACATCTCGACCTAATTTTGTGGAATCCAGAAATAAATCGACTTTGCATTGTCCAAATGCACGATTTCTTCTAAGTCATCTCAAATTACAAGATAATACAGGTACAAGAATCTGTTAGCGTAACAAGTGAAAGGGGATAAGTTGGCTAAAGCAAACTATAATAAAAGAATTCTGAGAGCAGAAACTTGATGCAAGAATTTTGAAAATTCCAAGTCTGACTATATCCATACTTAAGCTTTTCATGAAAACCTACTTTCCATGTGATGTAGTGAAAACGATTTTTGTGTGCTCTATAGTTATCGACAAAAAAATTAAATTTGAAAACACAATATTATAGAAGACACATAAATTTGCCTACCATGCGTGGTATTCATTTTATAGTAACCATAAATTTTTACCTAAAGAATCCGCTACTATCATTTATATAAACCTAACTAAATCCTGGTATTCTAAACCATGAAAAGAAAGACTGACGATGAAAATTAACGCAGAGAGTTAAGCTTTAAGGATGTTAATTTTATTGAAATGAAACTCTTAGTTACATTGGGGGATTACTTACTAGAAAACTGTGTTATATGCAAATAAGATTCCATTACTGAAAGTTCATTTTCAGAATGTAGGCTCAAAGTGGCAAGATCGTTAAGACCCAAGGCTCTATTGTGGGACCACAAACACAATTTACAAATATACATATTTAATATGTGTATCAATGTGTCACACCATTTCTTAGCTTCAAATTTGAAACAAACTCTTGTAAATAAAATGGCAAATCTTTATGTTGTCGTTGATGTTCCGCTTGACGCAACCATTTCGACTTTTTATTGCTCGAATAGTACATTTTATGTCTATTTACTTATTTATGATTCGTAAAAGTAAACTCATCCGGGAATACATCGTTAAAAGAATCGATGTTCAAAGTCATCGCCACAAAGCACTTGGTATTTGTTACGCTGTAATAATCTTAACATGTTTCTCTTTTTTAATTTTTTTTGATGTCAAAGTAATTTTAAATTAAACTTTGTTGCGATTCGTCATGTCCTGTACATGTCGCTACTTGCTGATCAAGGCGAATGTGAGTTTTAATGTATCGATTTTGTAAGTAAAGGCATCGTGGTAATTATTGCCCAATTAGTCAGCATGCCGATGTAATTACGCAGTTTTAAAAAGAGTAATTTTTAATAGGGGACGTGAAACATCAAACGTGTTTAAAACTTTCCTCTCGCGAACAAATTCTACTACAAATTAACTGTTAATGAAAGCGTTAATTTTATTATTCGCGAGAATATTATCGATTGGGTAAAGGCACGAATATCTAATAAATCATTATCTAATTGCACTTGTGAACTTAAATCAAGTTTGGGAGGACTTGCAAAAAAAGCACAACGAAATCAAGACAAGTAAGGAGATTAGCTAGTTAGTTGAAGAATTTGTTAATAAGTTAGATAATCTGCACTTGAATTAATGAAACTAAATTCAGACAAAATCTTTTTGAAAAGTTAGAAAGTGGTAGGTCACTTAGCTGGAGTGAAGAAAAACTAGTTAATAAAGAGGAATGATGCGATATGTCGATGAGATGGTCCCTTCAGCAGAATAATTGTTATGACCACTCCCAAAATGCACAAAAAACTCAATACGTGTTTAAGCAGAACAAAAACCGAATATTAACCTCTTTGAAAACGCCGTTAGTTAGGCCATTAGAAAATTCACCAAATCATGAATAGCGGCTTCTTCATCACGTTTTGTCGAAGCAATAGGATATTATTTATTATTAATAGGATTATCGGTATTCTACGTGCCTTGTTCTAATACAAATGCGTTTTCTAACTCCGTGGTCCCTCGTCTCATGTTTTCTTTTAACAATTTTTGTTCTGATTTAGACTTGTTTGCTACTCCCCGGTCTACATTTAGGAAATTGGTTAATGACCTCCCATATGCATCTCGTGCGCCGTTTGACTTGCGACGTTAATTCTGTTTTTGATTGATTCTTTTTTCAATATTTTTGATTATTAGTTTTGCTTAAGTTTCACTTTTTTGGCGATATGTCGATGAGATGGTCCCTTGAGCAAAATAATTGCAATGACCACTACCAAAATGCACAAAAAACTCAATACGTGTTTAAGCCTCTATGAAAACGCCGTTAGTTAGGCCATTAGAAAATTCACCAAGTCATGAACAGCGGCTTCTTCATCACGTTTTATCGAAGCAATAGAAATCCTCGACAATACGAACCAAATCAGAAGACTCAAGAGGTTGGATCAAACCCTTAGAACTGGTGTAATTTGTGTTAGTGCAAAAGCAGAATACAGTGCTCGTTTACACATTAATATTGGTGCAATTAAGTAATGTATTAAACAGGAGAAATCCTAATGAGTAAGTTCTAGGAAAAATGCAGTTCCTATCAATTTTTGTCTGCGTGCTTCTTCAATAAAAACGTAATAGAAAAATGGGTATTTCCACATTGATTGGTTTTTATTTTTGTTCGTCGCTATCAGATGTGTTGATTGGGTGATTTCAATTCAGTGCTTGATAGTTCCGAAACTATAAACGTATCGATTTTGATAAAAAAACAGTGCCTGAATGTTCCCGACATTGACAATTTGATTGAGTGTTACCAAACTGAACTTATTTAAGTAATAGTTAGGGATATTGATCGAGAGATGATAGCGATTTTAGTTGTATTTTTAGGTGGAGACACGGAGATAAAATTAAAATTCAATCTCCAGGTTCATGGCAGTAAGTTTGATGGATTTTGAGAACGTCCATGAAAATGTTTTTAGTTTTTTTTAATTCACAAATCCTATACGTTTTGACAGTAGAAGTACGCAAGCTTTGTGCTTTCTAAAATCAAAAAAGGCTTCCTTATTTGAATCCCTTAAAATTAATTTTTGAAATTAATAAGACCATTCTCTACAAATTTCCTGCTTTGTTGTTAAATAATGCTTTGTTTGAGGAAGCCAAAAAGAAGGTTTCATCGATTAGGGCACTGCTAAAAGGTCAATTTGATTTAAAACTTTTATGGTTTAATCACTACTAAAGAGCTTATAAGAAGGTTTATGAAAATATATCGAATGCAGCTTTACAAAACGTCCGTCAGTAATGATCATTTTTGACTGATCAAGTATTTTATCACTAATTGGTGATGATGTCGACCAAAAAACCAATGGAAAAATATTGATCTAAAACTAGAACTAACACTATCACTAAACCTAGCAACTTCTTTAATTAATAACTTCTCTATTGTTTGGAAGCCTTTTTTAAATATTGTGGAGAGAAGAGTAACTAATCTGTCAATTGAGATTACACTAAGATTTACTGTTAAATGAATAGAATTTAATTCATCTATCACAGTTTAAGCTTTTGGTTTAGTTTAAGTTTTTAGCAAGTACTATATCTAGTAAGTTTAGTCAATCGACTTATCTATAACGATAAGTGTAAAAATTTTGCACATGAATCTGCATGCTATGTAAAGTTAACAGTTCTTCTAGATAGATATCTGATGCATGGACGGTACTGGAGCCATATATTTTGAATTTAGAATTTAAATCACTAATTAACCTAAGAGATGCTCCTATATTTCCTATATAACTTTCCCGTATGTTGTCGGTAGGCGTAAGTTAGGGCAATTGGAGGCAGATTTTTCAACTAGAACTGAGTTGCAACTATTTAATATGACTACTATTTAATGTGAAAGGATTAGTAGATTGATATTCTCGATACAGTTTAAAGGTGAGTTAGTCATGGGCAACACTATGGAGTAGCTCGTTAAGTAAATATGATATCAGTTGTGAAATTAGCGGAGAAATAATTTGTTTCATTAAATTATTGTTGTCGTGATAGAAATAGTCAGTTCTGTCCAGAAGTTATTATTTGATTTTGAGGTTGACTCGATCTAGGTTGCACTTTATTTTGTTCTTTCGTCTTACATTAAGTATAATTATGGTTTTCACATCTTACACAATTAGGTGTTAATAAACAATAATTCTTTGTATAACCATATCACTAACAATTTAAGCATTGAGGAATGTTGAAAGACTTCCATCTTTATTTAACGATTGAAAATATAAAACGATATTTTGCCCGATTTTCATTCAATATTATCATTTGTGGCTTATTGATAAGTTATTTATCTTGAGATAAATAGATCGTGGAATCAATCATCGTAAAGCTCCAATCAACATTATTTGCCAGACGTTGTTTGTTTCAGTAAATATGTACAGAGATTGATTGTATTTTCAATAATCTATATGTATTGTAATCTGGATGGTCTGCAATGCGTCAAATGTAATTTATGAAATATGAAGTTTAAAGGAGATATACTATAATATAATTTTTATCGCATTCAATTGGTTAGTAACAAAGAAAAAAGAAATCCGATTTATGATTTGAGTCAAGTTAAATGTAATGTTTAAAATACAAAATGCTGTATAAATACTTCCGTAATGATGTTACAAAATCTGCAATCGTGGACTTTTATTAAGGGAATATTTACTTTTTTTTTGGTTTTTATGACAGACCGTGCACCCCCTGAAACCCTAAAAGGAACGCTCCTGGTTCACTCAAATGAAACTAAAGTAAATTCCCTGGGTAATAATTTACTTTTCCTTGCGCGCACAGCTGGTTTTACAACGAAACGGTGCTGATGGTATTTGAAAACTCACCTTTACTTTTTATTTTCCTTATTTATTAAATGTTGTAGTGTAAGCAAACGTAATTGAAATAATGAAATTTCCCTTCTCCAAATTAATACCTAATCATAGAGAGATAAGAGACAAAGGATTAATTAGTGTAACTGCAATACGTCGTAGTCCTATTATTCCTATGCGCGACATTTCGC